ATATGATGTCCTCTTAGATTTTTCAATAACAAACTAGACTTTTTAACTTCTTTAACCTTGCATAAATCTGCTTACATATGTAGGTGCGGTTTGGCAGGGTTTATTAAGAAAGGAAGTGTTGCTTAAAAGCATTTCTTTATTTCTTGAGGTTAAAAAATTTTCGGAGGAAAATTAGGATTTTTGGCAATGAAAGTGCTAATAAACAAATTCTGTCACTAGTAATGGGCTATTACTTATTACCAAAGAGGCTCATCTTATTGTAATGTTGCGTTCATGTTGCCAATGTTGATTTTGAGCACTAATGCGTTGGAGATTTTCAATGTTATCTATCAAAATTTTATTATGCAAAAACTGCTTTGCTTGTTGCAATGAGATTATCAAAATTTACTAAATTATTATCTTTATCATTTATAAATTTTATTTAGTCTTATAATAATAGTAGTTATTTACTAGTTAAAGAAAAGTATAATTAAAAGTGACCAAATTAATTATCTCAGTAGTTCAATAATAGTTTTTTTAGTAGAAGTAAAAAATTTTAGATTTAAATCATATAGTATGAAATAAAGTGAGTTGAAGAATATGAGAAAGTTGATTTTTATTATGTAACTTAAGATGAAAAATAAAAATTAACACAAAATTTTATAATTGAAAAATAATAATAAAAATTTATTTATTAATTACAAGGCAGGAAATTAAAGGGGCTCACTAAAAATAGAAGTTAAGGGGCTAAATTGTACTAAAGAAAACTAATTGGGTTCCGTTACTTCTAGTGAAAAAACTTCAAGAATTTATTTTAATGTTTTCCCAAACATAGTTCCCATGGATCTATCTGGGCGGCCAGGGTTGGTAGAGGCATACGATACAACCGAACGTTGCAAAAATGAGCAGCTCCAGCTTCCTCTTCAGCAATGGAGTCATCTTGCATCCCTCTGATGCTCCACCCGTCTCTACCTTCCTCGAATCCCATCCGGGTATCTCACTCTCTGCTCAGTAAACCATCTGATTCTTCAAGATTCTATTTTCCGAAGAAGGATTCAAATGGGTGCTAAACTTTCTTCTTCTTCTTTTTTTATTATTTTTTTTCTTGAATTTGTTTCAGGAGCTTATACCACGACTCGCACCCACAACAACGCTTCGTTTCTCTTGTTTTGGGATAGGCATTTGCAGAGACTGGCTAACTCTGCGAGAATTCTGTTCGAATCAAAGCCAGATTTCTTGTTTGAATCGAGCAAATCTTCGTTCTCGTTACCCTCTTTGCCGGCGACTTCATCGTCGAGGTGGGATTCTACTGTACGATCATTAGTCAACGATGCGTTAAGTGAAGTGGTTCCGGTTGCGTTGGGTGAGAAGAGGGTTGGGGAGGAATTGGCGGTTACGACTCTTGTTACTGGGAATTTGGAGAAATTGAAAGAGATTGACTGTGTGGGTGGTGATGGATTTTCTGCTCTTCTTGATGTACGCGTGCATGTTCAGCCTTATGTTCTTCCGGCGTTTGGCTTTGGAGTGAACGGTGCGCACTTGGCTGTGGTGGGTCGTGGAAGGGATGTGGCGGCTGCCAAGTATTCCAATTGGGTAAGGTTTGTACTCTCTGTAGATTGCATTGCTTTTGTTCATCATTTAGGGTTTGTGTTTTACGCTGTTAGAATTGAAAGAGGAAAAATGGAGAAATTGTGTGATTAAGCTTAATTCCATGACAGTCAGGTTGTCTTTTCTTCTTCTTCTTCCTTCCATACTCTTTGGTTATACAAGTGATGATCTAACACTTTGAATTCAATTTCTTGTTATGGTTTCTGTATATATGTATTTTGGTATGGGGATATTACTTTCTAGAAAGGCTAAGGAAGGGTTTAGAGAAATTGAGGCCTCCTTCAGTGACTGAGCTTTTGTTATCAAATGATGGTGATCAAATACTTGAAGGCAGCATAACAAACTTTTTTGTTGTTTGCCGAAAGGTCAGTGGTTTAGAACTCAAAATGTGCATAAAAGCTGGGTTCTATATGCCCTCTAGTATGAGTTTCTTATTAGCTTATGAGCTTATTGACAATGAGTTTCTTCATTTCAGTTCCAAATTTAAAACTGCTGTATGAACATGCTTTTAGGATAAGAGTGAATCTAAGGGGAATGACTTGCATGATCATGGTAGTGCATATTCAGTTGAAGTGCAGACTGCTCCGATTGGTGATGGCGGTGTCCTAAAAGGAGTTATACGACAGCTGGTTATTGAGTAAGCAGCTCTGTCTTTTTATTGTTACATATATTTCTGTTAATGAAGCCGGAAATCAACATGGAAGAAAGTAGTAGTTAATTTTCAAAAGAACTTTTTAATGATGATAATAGAGATTAGACTTTAGAGTTCTTAAATCAAAACTGACACGGTACGTGTTTTGGGTATCTGTTAAAGTGATTTGAAATAAGTTATTTGTGGCTTTAAAAGTAGAAGTAAATTTATCAGAATGTTGTATCCAGTATTAGTGAGTTTGCCATTATAAATGTGTGAAGAAGCAAAGCAAGCTGCTGATGCAACAGAGAAAACAATTACTATAAACTATTAAAACAGATTGTTCTTCATATCAACCTTTTCCGATTACAAAACTTTCTATATGCGCAGAGTATGCTTGAGCAAGGGTATTCCAGTACGTGAGGTTGCCCCATCATGGGCAAAAAAAGACCTTTGGGAGGAGGCATTCATTACAAGTAAGACTTGTAGTTCTTGTTCTGTCCTCAAGTATTGCCACAAGAGTGTTTTTAATTATCTTTAATCGTTGTTGAGTTCTCTGTTGACACTCAACTGAGTCCAAAATAGATGCCAAATTCATTTCAACTATGACATGGAGGTGCAGATCATCACATAGCCAGTAGCCCTGGCAATATTTTCAGTTTTTCAACTTTGGTTGCAAGGTGGCTAAGTTTTTGAGATACCTTTCCTCTTCACTTGTCCTACATTTAGAACCATATATCTTTGCTGCTTTGTTGATGCTCTCTTGTCTGCAAAGTGATGCTAGATGCCTAGATCATCATTCTAGTAAACTCTTAGACTTTTCTAATAGTAGATGACACATGAGGATCCTCATTTCAAATTCTGCTTGGTTTTATTATAATCTTACTTTATAATTCAAGCTAATTTTGCAGGTAGCTTGAGAGTTCTACAACATGTGGAGACAGTTAAAGTTCCAAGTTTTTGGGAATCACTGGAATCAAAATCTTGGGAGGAAATACCATGGAATGAGAAACGGTTTAAGGTGTGTATCTGCCCAACAGCATTGATGGATCTGGAATTTTTGAATCACACTTCTCTCTCACAATTTTTTTTTGCTTTATATGAAAATTAGGAGGGTCCTGGAATGATCACAAAAATAATCCAGGTAAATAATGTAGGAGCATGTTTTATATATCTCCTTCACGAGTTTATGCATGAAACCCTTCTTGTATGAGGATTAACCTTGATAGGCAGCTGGAAAAACACTGAAAAGAAAAACATTCCTTTTCACTTTTCTTCATCTTTGTGCTTATGTTTCTGTTAATGGTGGAACAGGAGGAGATTATGGTGAGGGCTCACCTGGAAGGCTTCCCATTAAGCAAGTTTGTATAACAGAGAATGAATTTGTTCACTTTGTATCACGTACAATGCTCTCTTTTACGCGAACTTGGAAGTGGTCACCGACAAAGACTGTTAAATAAGAAGTATGCTCCATTTTCAATATACTGTGAATCATACTTGTTTCTGCCATATTTGAGCCTGCTTACCTTGATTGCTCGATAAATTTCTCAGGCTCATTAGTGAGATGGACTTTGGCCACAAGAGAAAAAAAAGGGTGAGATAGACCTCCATGCTTGTACTATTGTAATATAAGAATTCATTCAACAGCGGAATGATTTTTTTTTTTTTTGTCGCTTGAATTGTGTACAGTACATTATTATTCTGTTTTATTTATGAGAATTTGATCAAATCTCGTTGGCATGCAAATATTTGTTTGGTGAATAAAAATTCAGACCCAAAAAAAAAAAAAGGACCTTTTGTAACAAAAATATGAAGAACTTTCAAAAATCCGCAACATTTTTATGACCAATAAAAAAAAATGTTGTGCAGATATAAAAGTGCATAACATCTAATATAAAATTAGAAACACCACAATAATACATATTGTTAATTTTTTTTACATCTAAATGGGGTATATAAAAAGGATTATGTCTTCTTTTTTTTTATTTAATTTTTCTTTTTTTAATTCAAGATTGAATTTTAAGATCTTTAACTTACAGAAACATAATACAATGACACAAAAGCCAAACAAATAAAAATTTCAGAAAAATCGCCAATTCGTCAGATCTCTCTGAATAAAAGCAATCGCCCACCTACTTCTCTCCTTTCCTTCGCTCCCGCGCCAATATACAAATTCCTCAGCTCAGTACACTTCCTCCACTCTGCAGGTGTTTCTCCCTCTCTGCCCCCTTATCTTCTGCGTTACATCTTTTATGTACACATCTACATGCTTGCTTGTTCATACCTCATATAAAGATGTATGTACGATTCCTGTAACTTACATGTATGTATGTATGTATGTTTATCTGTGTATATGAAATCGTTTGAAATGGATCGTTAGTTCCTGTGTGTGATCGGCGGTTTGATGGATGTATGGATGTTTGTGAGTGTATGTATGATTTGTGTTCCGGCATCGGTGATTTCAGTTTTTATATGTGTGGTCAGTGATCTAGGGTTTAGGTGAGATGGCGGCGGAGGCGCCAGCGAGTCCGGCGGCAGGGAGCCATGATAGCGGAGGGGAGCAGAGTCCGCGCTCGGGAGTGAGGGAGCATGATCGCTACCTGCCGATTGCGAATATCAGTCGCATCATGAAGAAGGCGATCCCTGGAAATGGCAAAATAGCCAAGGAGGCTAAGGACACCATCCAGGAATGCGTCTCTGAGTTCATCAGCTTCATAACTAGCGAGTATGAAAAAAATTTCTGTTATGCTCTCGTCACATTCAATTGTTTGTTTTCAAATTAAGTAAAGGAACAAAGCTGGTGATATTTTTGTTTCCTTTATAAGCTTGATTTTGGTCTGTGAATTCAGATTGGAGCTTTGGGGAATCAGTGTGATATCTGAACCAGGATTTGTTCTTTGAATGAAGTTTTTGGTGCTTTTGGAATGCAAGGATACACTTAAACAAGTTGTTTGATTGATGTTTAATGTTACTGAAAACAATTTAAAGTTCAAGTTTGTGTAGTGTAATTGGATGTTTGCATAAAGGTTTCTGTTGTATATTTTCTCGTTGGTGTCTTTTGGAAGATGGATGTTTTCTTGAAACTGGTTGGGGTTTGTTTTTTAGGGCTAGTGATAAATGTCAGAAAGAGAAGAGAAAGACGATTAATGGGGATGATTTGTTGTGGGCAATGGTGACACTGGGGTTTGAAGACTATGTTGAGCCACTTAAAATTTACCTGGCTAGGTATAGGGAGGTAAGCCTCTCAATTTGAACTGTTTTTTGTAGTTCAGCTTCTATGGTTATTCTGTTTGTGGATTAATTCTACTTAAGTATCTGTTTTGGTTTCTGAAAGTTTAAGGAGAAGAAGATTGAAATCTCGAATTTCTTTGTGTTTAAAATTCAGAAACTGAATGTTTTTGTTTCACTCATATTTTTCTGTTAATGACATGCGGTTGTCTGTGTAAATTTATCTAACTATGTTTTTCTTCTTCTATGCATTTATGTTGGGAATGAATGCAAATTCACAGCTGGAGGTAATTATTCCTTTTCTTGGACCACAGTGTTTATTCATCTTTTGTGTTTCCATTATATCTTCTCCACTACCCCTACAGGAAAAAAGAAAAAGAAAAATCCCCCTCACTCTCCTCTGTGACTACGATTAAATTGTCCCTAAACCATTTAAACTGGCAGGGTGATGCCAAGGTATCTGCAAGGAGTGGAGAAGGATCTGTAAAAAGGGATGCAGTTGGAAGTCTGCCTGGCCAGAATGCCCAGGTGCAACCATATAGCCTCTTTAGATCATTGTTGTGCATTAAAGTATTTTATACTGAATTCTTCTTATGCCAAAATCCTTAACTTACACTACCACATTGGTCATGAATGAATCATGCAGTTTGCATATCAGGGATCCTTGAACCATATTAACTCTCAAGTAACCCTCTCTCTCTCTTTCTCTCTCTCTGCCTGAACCATATTACCAACATCCAATGGAATTTCAATTAAAAACAATTCACTTAATGCTAGTTTCTCTTAATGTAGTCATCTTATCTGGACCAAATGTTATTACTTATGGGCCTCTCTGTGACTACTATTCTTCCATCCATTTTGTTTCATTAGCAGACATAAATTTTTATGTGCTGATAAAGCTGTCATGATCCTAATGAAACTTGACTAGAATAACTGTTAAAATTGTTTGGAACAATCTTATAAATATAGTTTAAACAAATCTTGATAAGCGAGGGCTGGGATTATACATAAAAGTATAAAACAGCCCAAGCTTCTTCCTTCTAATTTTGATTACGTTGTTAAATTAGACAAATTTTACTACCTGATGAAGCTTTAAAGGAATCTTCAGTATATTCATCAAAAAAAAAAAAAAAAGGAATCTTGAGTATAGAAGTTATTATGTTCTATTGAAAATGTAATTTACATTTCTCAAATTTGGTTGGATATATGCTATGTTTGGAAATAAAAATGACTTATCAACATTTGGTCATATACATGGTTGCCTACTGTAAATTTTAGTGTAATATTGACTTTTGCAAGTTTGCAACTTACATTTTAAAAGCATGATCTGGCAAATTGAGATTGTAGTAAATGCTACTCATTAAATATTTGGGATTACAGGTCGAGTAACTCCATTCTTTCTTTCTTTATAATTTACTATATTTTATTTAGGATCAATGTGCTTCTGAAGGTAGAGAATTGAAAATGTGTTTTTGTTCTGAAAGAAAAGGATGGGTCTGGTGTGATTCTAATTTCCACTTGGTGTTTAATCATTTGTGCTTCTTGGAATTTTGCAGGCACAGGGACAGCATATGATTGTTCCATCGATGCAAGGCTATCAGTAGTACTCCTTGCTACTTTTACTAATTCTATTTTATAAGTTTTAGGCTGGTAGTAATGTTTAGTTAAACATCTATAGAGGATCCTTAATTTGAAATTACATTTTATTTATCCAAGGTGTATTTCAGATGGGGTAATTTAGTTGTTAGCGGTGATTTGAAACTCCTACGCCAACAGTTACCGCAGCCACAAATTGGGCACTCTCTTTTATAATATATCTTGAACATTAGAAAAGAAAATTGTTCTGTATACTAATGGTATTCTGTAAAATTGGTTGATGAGTTCATATGAGCAGGAACTTGGTTACAGATGTTACAGCAGAGTTTGGAAGAATCATTTCCTTTTGTATAACCCTTAAACTGAATATCTACCCAATATTTTCTTGGAATTTTGTGACTATACATGCAACACTCTGTGAGACTATCCTGGGTATTTTCCACTAAATTAGTTTTAGCCATTCACCATGTAAAGCGTATACCCATGACTCATGACAATACATTATCGTTCTCATTTGCAGAAACAGAAGCACGTGACATCATTTGCCTCGCAAGGTACACACGTGAGCTCTATGATCATGGTACAGAAAGAAATAGCCTGGCATTTTTATTTCTTTCTTCATAATGGTCTCTTACCTGTCTCTCAGGATTCCCCAAGAACTTGATCAGAATTTGCAACAAAGCAATTCTTTTGTAATATCTCCTGTCCATTATCTCCGTACCCCCACGACGTGACCATCATTTCATGCCTGCTGGAAATAAGCACATTTCCTGAACTTTGTATGATCATCACATGGAAGCTCATGGAATTTTCGGTCTTTGATTCCATCTTTGACCATTGGCTGCGGTTTGTTCGAAAGTTAAGTGCCTAAACTCAATCTTTTTCTGTTTTTTCAGTTAAATATGATATCTTTTCAGTCTTATAATCATATAAAATTTCACACTGCTTTTATACAATAATGTGATTAATTGTTAAAACTCGTCTTACCCAAAATGCAAAGATAACTCGAATTTTTTTTTTTTTTTTTAATGAACGGGAAATGTTTAGGAAGGAGAAATTCTCTGTTAAAAGTTGGTGCTGTAATTAACTAGTTTTACTTCCACAGCTAGGATGGATCAAGGAGGACAAGGCTGAGAATTCAGAAGTTGATGTGCAGAGGGTAAATAACGTGGGCAGGTGGATGCTTTTGCCAACTGGGACCCTGAAAGGTCCAGCTCACACCACCCCAACCCCATGATAACCCCTCACCTCTCAATTTTATAATCCCGTTTAATATCTGACTGAGGCCAGCGCAGGCCTCATGGGGGGCTCGGACAAGAGACAGCACAGCCAATAGATTCACATTCTCTGATTTTGTTGGTCAAAGCTGTAATGTCCGAATTTACAGTGGTACCCCTCGTGCCATACAGCTGGCCACGTTTGTTTTTGCAGAGAACGAGAGAAAGAAAGAGATTCATTTTCATTCAGGTAACCTACTCACCCCCTCACGTGGCCTTTGTTCCTTCAAACCCAGAGTGCTTCTTCGCATTCGCATCAGTCAGCAGCAGACTCCATGCCTTCTTCCTCCTTTATATTTTCTCTTCTTCCAATGTGTTTTTTACTCACTCGCTATCTTGTCATTTGTACAACACGCGGCTTCTTCCATACAAGCAATGCAATGCCTCCCTCCCTAGGTTTTGGCTAATCATGCAAATTACCTCCTCAACTTGTTGATAGGTGGCAAACAAGCCCCTGAATTGAAAACAGTAACAAATGACCCCTTAAACTCGTCATCGGTGGCGAATCAACCCCTTCTCCAACGGCTGATGTCATCATTCCGTCCAAACTTAGCCGAGTTCA